TGAACATAACACATATCATGCCTTCTTTTAAATTACACAATAATATGATGGAAATAGCAGTAGAACGAGGAGACAGTTAATGGTTGACCTCACATGAATTGCAGTTATAATGTTAATATTTGAAATATGCTGCCAATACTATGAGAATTCATCAACTACTACAACAGATCACAAGATCTGGTGTACTTCTTGCTGGTTGTATAGAAAAGGAAGAAAATAGAAAAAGATTCAAAGGTACTTCAAAATTTTTAAAAGTCAAAACTAAAGAGGCATCCCAAGGTTCCTCAGTGCTTCATCAGCTGCACATGAACAAATCAGAGCAAGAGAACGCTTCTTAAGTTTGAAAAAAAAAAACACTATGCTAAATAAAATCAGATATAAAAAGCCATATATTCCTTAGAAGTCTCACCATATATTGCCCAGATAGCTTTCCTTCTCTCGGGGGTCATCAGCATGGTCCCTGCCACAGAACAAGAAAATAGAGAGCAGGCTTTAGTATATTTATTCTTCAAACTACACAAAACTTTTAACTTTTTTCATAATTTATTTGCACAAAAAGTGAATAAGTAGAATTCTAACCGAGATAAAAAGTCTTAGCATACTCCTCACATACTTCCCTACAACGATCATAAGCTTCAGTCAACAAGCTAAGAGCTCCCGGAAGAACAATATCTGGCTTCACCTCCAAATCCTCTTTCGACTCCAATTGCCTCTTAACCAAAGCTGCCTGCCTTAAGACAACATCATAAACTTTTTGCTCAGATGTTAAAGCGATGTCAGCAGCAGGGCTTGCCACCATACTTGAAGGTGGAGAAAATCGACTTCCATTGTCTAAACTCGAGCTGCCCAAGCTAGAGTGCCTCAAATCAACATGTGTGGGACTAAAATACTTCCTATTTTTCCTCTGCTGGCTCTTGCTTGGCCTGCCATGGCAGGCCAAGGTTTTGGGACTCAGAAAAGACCGGTTTTTTTCTCCTAGTGGCTCAAGGACTCCGGAGTTGTTTGAGAAGTCCGATGTGGGACAAACAACTCGCAAGAAAGCAAAAGACATGCTGATTTATAGCTTGTTAGAGATTGTTCCTATCTGTAAGCTCAGATTGTTAAAGACAATTCTGGATGACAATTGAAAGGCAACACTTTTTTTTTCTCAATTTAGAGCCGCTCTCAGTTCTTGCACATGGACCTGACCGTTTGATGGGGTTAGCTGCATAACAAACCAATTATAGGATCACATAAATAGAAAAGGTAAAAAAGGGGATTGTTTTAAGAACAAATAAATACTTTTTCTTGGAAAAAAAAAAATAACACATTGAATGCCATGAAAAATGCTTGCAGCGCCTACTAGAGCTCAAAACACATATAGCCACACACACACAAATCCGCATAAGCTGCCTAAAATAAATTAACCTCAAAGTCATTAATTTTCAGACTTACATGGGTAACAGGTCGTGAAGGCTTGCTATGTAAAGTCAACTAGACTATGAACCCGTCTCTTCTTACACGAAAGATTCGATTTTTATAACATAAATCTAACAAAGAAGAGGAATGTGCAGGTAACAGCTTAAAATGAATAAAGAAAAAGCAGAAAATTAATCAAACAGGAAAAAAAACTACGAAAAGAAAAAAAGAGAAAAGGGATATACCTTTGATTAGTTCGACGGAAGTTCCTTTTTAAGGTATCGATCAAAATCAACAATGGCCAGAAATTTATTTTCACAAGCTGGAAACCACACAAATATGAGCAGCTCTATAAGCTTCCAGAAATTCAAACAGTGTCCTTTGTCTTTTTTTTTTGCTCCGACCGCTGAGTTGAAATATTGTGCCTTTTTTCTGTACTTTTTCCTTTTTGCTTTTTAATTTTTCACTAAAATCTCATATTGTTTGATGGGCAATTTTCTCTTGTGCAGAGGAGGATTAGACAACGAGTGATTCATATTCGTTGCTGTGGAATTGGAGTCAATTTTATATAGCGAATTTTCCCTGAGAGAGATCCAAAGTGGGTCCCACCTCTGGCTGTGAGTTGGCTCATGAACAAAAATTAAGCAATAACATTTATAATATCTTTTATTTTATAAATATGAACACTTTCCAATTAAAAAACAAAGTAAATACAAGGAGTCAACTTCTATATACAACAAGTAAATCATATTATATTATTTGATTACTTAAATAATACTCCCTTCATTTTGAAATATAAGGCGTATAAAAATTTCTCATTTTTTAAAAATATAAGGCGCGCTAAAAAATCAAGACAAATTTTTGTATTTTTTTCCAAATATACCCTCATTGTGTTGAAATTATGAAAGTGTGGAGTGATTGTGATTAGAGTAAACAAAGTTAATTTAGTTAATTTATTCATTAATTAATGTCTCCTTAATATTTGTGCAATAACCTTAAATGCCTTATATTTCAAAATGGAGGGAGTACTAATAAAAAAACTGACAAGTATTCAATTGCAACTATGGGTAATCGTACTCGGACATTTACTCAAACTTATATGCAAGTGGAATTACTCCAAGTACGATTCCACTCGGACATTTTATAAAAATTAATGTGATATAAAATGTAATAATAAATTTTCATTTGATAAAAAATAATAAAATAATAATTGTTTGTTATAAATATGTAAATGAATAAATACTAAATTATTTGGAGAAGTGGGTAATAATAATTATTTGCAGTTTAATGTCAAACTCTATTTACATGACTTGATAAACCCACTGCATGAATTTAAGTTTTTTTAAGAGGCCACACATGGCTACAGAAGTAGCAATTCTGGAAAAATAATTGATCAAATCTGTTTGATGATTTCTAGTAGAGAAATTAGAAGTCAATCCTCCTAATGAAAAGTGCAACCCAAAATACCAAATGCAACCCAAATCAAAAATTAGCAATTTTTAATTGGCCGAGACATGTGTGATTAATAAGCTACCGAATATGTAAAAAGGCAACCTAAGAACATCTCCAATGATGTATGAATTGATTTTTTTTATTAACATGTGGCTGCATAAATCTTATGTGACATTCAAAATGTCTAGAAGTTTTTCTAAATATAGAAGTAATTCTAAACATACTCTACTTAAATATCTCATCTCCAGTCAATTATAATCTTGCACCGTGTCAAATTATACAAAATTTGGCATTAACAGTTTAAAACAAAATTTTGTAATTTTTTTTTCTTCATAAATTTGGTACTATTCTCCATACATTTTCAAATGATGCTCTAAGAGCATCTCCAATGATGAAATGTAGTTGTAGTAATTTACACTTTATATTAACAAATTTAGCAATGTCTCTAATTTTAATCCTACAATGTACAATGTAATCACAAATGTAGTAATGAGGTAGACATAATAACATCCACAATGTAGAGAAGAATGTGATTCATCCACATTCTCTTTCACATTACAATCAACCAATTGAGAGATGAGAGAGAAATATTATTATCATTTTGAAAATATCTAAATTATGTAATTTTTTTTGTTTCTTATTTATAATTTTTTTTACTTTTGCCAAGTGGACAATTTTATGTTTGATCACATTTTGCATTGTAGATAATTTTTTACATTTAAATTTGTGAACTTAACAAATATGTTATGTGGTTCACAATTCATTTAAATATTTGATATTTGTTAAAATTTATATGAGAACTATAGAGATGCTCTAATCAAATGGAAAGGCCGTAGAGGGTGAATTTGACACGTGTCGGTTCGTAAGTGGCAGCACCAATATTATATCACAAATAGGTTGGTCGAGTGGGCCCCTACGAGGCGAAGTGCCAGGAAGAAGGGTACTTTTTTTAGATGCTAATCAAATCTCAATGATGGATAGGGCAATGAATCTTCTTTTTAGAAATTGCTTTTTTTTTTTTGTTTTNATATAATAGGGAAATTTATATATAAAAAAACAAAAAAAACACAAATAAACACAAATAAAAGAAAAAAAAAAAAATTGGACCAAAATCAAAAATCAGTATTTTGAAAATACGTTTTCTTTACAAATTGTCATTGAAAAACGTATTCTCAAAATATGAGTTTCAATGAAAAACGTATTATGTAAATACGTTTTTCAATGACAATTACAAAAAAAAAACGTATTCTCAGAATACGTGCTTTTTATTTATTTTCACAACTTTTTGTTTTCGTTTTGTTATTGTTCACTTCATTTTTTCTTATTTTTTTCAAGTAAAAAAACCCAATATAAGTTGAATTTTTTTTGTTGTACAAACAATATAAGTTACATTAAACCAAAATATGTTGACTTCGTTTAAACAACTTTTTACACCAATTTTAACGTTTTTTATTGTTATCTAAGTGTCTTAATACTATTATGAAATCTTTTCTTTATTTTTCTTACAATTCAACTATGAATGACACTTGAATATTCTCATAATCTTCTATAGACTGTAGTTCTCTAAATAGATGCTCATACGTTACAGTAGAGCTAATGTAGAATACATTCAAGCGCTCCACTCAAGTCTCACACATCTTATATTTTATTCGTGCCTAATTTGTAACATAATCCACCTCAAACAAAATTCTTTTCAAATGAAAATTTATGTAACAAAATATTAAAGATATCCAAATAAATTTACATGTATCTGTTCCCAAATTCTAGACTAGAGAAGTTGGTAAGGAAATTCATTATCGAACCCTACGTATTATCTTTGAGAATTTGCCCCTTATAAATAATACATTCAGTCTCGTTTTCTAACCCTAAAATTTTCTTGTTGGGGTAGAACACCAAACGCAGCGGACAAAAATACCCCTCCAACAAATATGACAAGCACTACTCCAAACGAAAATAAGCCAACACAAATAAATAAAAGACGGAAAATAAAAAGGACACAAAAATTGATAACGGAGTTCGGCGAAAATAGCCTACGTCTCCGGGCACCGCCAACCGCAACGCCAAATTTACTAAACTCACCAACAAAATACAACTAGGATTAAATAACCCACAAATTAGGATTTCCTTAATTAAGGATTTCCTACCAAGAGAGGAGAGAATAGAATAAGGTGCAATTGTAACCCAAAGGCAAGGGACTTATTTATACTAATAAGATCCTACACATCTTTGGTATACATTCGATGTGGGACAAACAATTAATCAAAAAACTAACAATTCTCCACCTTGACTAATTTTGCTCCCACTTCGACTCTTCAATCCAAATCAACTGTCGGCGGTGCCTCCAAATGCGCCTCACGGCGCCAACTCAAATATGCAGAATGTTGGTCAAGTCTAAACAATGTTTAAACTTGACTGTTGTCACTACCTTGGTCATCATATCTGCAGGATTCTCCGTCGTCTTGATCTTCTTCAACACAACGGTTCCATCTTCTAGAATCTCCCGCACAAAGTGATAGCGAACATCAATATGCTTCGTTCTTGCATGAAATACTTGATTTTTCGCTAAGTGAATAGCGCTCTGACTGTCACAATGCACTAAGACGTGCTTTTGACCAACTCCCAAGTCTTCAAGCAAACTTTGAAGCCAAATAGCCTCCTTCACAGCTTCAGTAACCGCCATATACTCTGCCTCTGTTGTAGACAAAGCAACCGTTGATTGTAAGGTAGACTTCCAACTGACTGGAGCTTTCGCAAAAGTGAACAAATATCCAGTCGTTGATCTTCGCTTATCCAAATCGCCCGCGTAGTCAGAATCACAATATCCAACCACACATTGACCAAATTCATCCTGCTCATAAACTAATCCAACGTCTACAGTATTATGAATGTACCGTAGAATCCATTTCACAGCGTGCCAATGACCTTTACCAGGGTCATGCATATATCTGCTAACAACACCAACTGCTTGTGAAATGTCGGGCCTTGTACACACCATCGCATACATCAAACTACCAACTGCATTTGCATATGGGACTCTAGTCATGTACTCTCGTTCTTCATCACAATTTGGCGATAATTGGGAACTTAACTTAATATGAGGGGCAAGTGGTGTACTTACAGGCTTCGTCTCATCTTTTATGCCGAAACGTTGTAGTACCTTGTTCAGATATTGCTTCTGAGTCAAACAAAGCTTGCCTCTCC